TGTATTAAACACCCACAGCTGCCCTTTTCCCTCTAGGCAATACAAACACTGGGGGCTTTTTGTGAAGGTTTGATTTATGACTATGAAAATTACATCTTGTGCATCTGTTAAAGACCAAGATTTCTGGTTTTCAGTTAAAACAAAAATTATTGCTGAAGAGTTCCTCAAAGAATTTTATCCTGAACTCTATTAAATATATGAAAAAGAAAGCAATCCAAAGAGATGTTCTTCCAGTTGTTGACAACACAGTTTTCTACTGCTTTTTTGTCAACTAACAACAAAAAGTGGTTGCAAAACTGATAGCTGTTTATGCAAGGGATGGGGCAGAATCTGAACAGAATGAGAAAACACCCAAAGAATGATTTTGTGGTATCTTTGTATCCTTCTCTACCCCAAATAATTCATGGTTTAAAAATAATGCGAGTTTATTCCTGCTTAGCATGAAAATGGGAGGCCCCAGTGTTTGAGTGGGGTGTAGCTGCACGAAGCACCTGGTATTCACATAATGGTAAAAAAAAAAAAAAGCAGTTTGGTGATCTGATGGTGAAGCAAAGGAAATGGATCTTTCTGGAGGCCACTCACTCACTCTTGGGTTCTTCCTCCACCCTAGGAAAAAAAATCTGAATGCATTTACCTGCCCTGTGGTTTCCATTCTAATCTAATGATATGAAACCTCTCTCTCTTCTTCTCCTCCTCCTCTCTTTTGGGAATCCGAAAGCAGATGCTCCTGCTGCCTGCCTTGTGCTGTGTTCTCAATGCTCCCTTCCCTTCCCCGGGCTCCTAAGGGTGTATAGTTTGTGTATTTGTTTTGTCAATATTTAAAAGGTACAATGGTAAAATCCAAATTGCCCAGGGTTCGCCCCCATGCAGCGTACGATGGGGTCAAGCAGCGCTTTGTCCCTGCCCTGCTGTGGCAGGAATTCCCTGCTGGAATCACGGCAGCGCTGGCCAGTAGGGGAGAGTGCCGAAAATGCTCCCTTTGCCTTCTTCCTTTGGGGTCCACCTGAGATGAGCAGCCAGTTTTCTTCCACAGCCAGAATGGTGTTTCTGAAGGAAATACGTGAAATGAGCGACGTGTGCGGGGTCTCTGCAGGACCAGCCAGGAGCAATTCATTTACATCACAGCTGCTTAAAACCTTGGGTTCTTGTGCTTTGCTTGGAAAACGGTATTTGTTGACCTGCTCTATCACAGCAGAGGAGGAGGTGATTAATAATTGGTTTTGAGCTGTGTGCTGGTTCTCTTGTGCAAGCAATGCTGATCTGTGTTTCTTAGCTGGATTTCTGCCTTGATTCTGTTGAGCATGCTTCTGTGGCCCTGGCTGCCTTCATACTGACGCTGTTTTGCTCCATATTGGAAACAACATACAAATTTTAAAGACCACTTGTCTTTCATCCTGTGTTATTCTTCAGCTTGTATAATAGAATGACTCCAGTCTTCACTAAGGTTTCTTTTTTGTCCTTGTTGTTTCTAGGAAACTAGCTATTTGTTTCAGTTGTGTTCTGTTTGCCATTCCAATCCTAGCTCTGAGTCACCTAAAGTGCCTTTAGATAGTGCTTTGCTCATGGTTGCTTTTTACTGTGCACTTGGCTGAACTGTGAATGAAACGGCTCTGGAGGAAGCTGAGAGGAAGGATTCCTGCTCCCCTGGTCAGTAGAGGCACCTCCTGTTTTGACATCGTTCTTAAACTGAACAAGTGGGCACAGTTTGCCCGTGCGGTGCTTTACATAAGATCCTGGTGACATTCGAGAAACTGGTGGAGAGGAATCTAGCGCGTTGCTCCCCAGCTGTGCACGGTGTGGCCGCAGAGACGGGCCCTCTGTGACGTTCAGAGACCAACAGTGCTTGAGCACACAGCAAAATTTTGGTTGCGGAGGGAGCAGTTTTAGATTTTTAAATATCAAGAAGTAATTTTACAGCAGATTGCAAGCTCATAGTTGCAGGGTAGTGTAAGTTTATGTTCCCCACTGCCTTCCTCTTGGGACACAGGGGTCTTTCAAAAAGGATGGCCTCTGAGGTACATAGGAAGTGTCCTGGACTGAGCTGCAGGAAGAAATCCAAAGTAAAATATCCATCAAGGGACTAGAGATTCTTGGAGGATACATTTACAGCATTTCTGAAACAGATTTTGTTGCTGTTACTTGTGAGTCTTCTGTCAGTTGCAGCAAACTGGTGCAGCTTTAGCGACCCCAACTGCTGCCCTCATTTCAGATTGTAGGGCTACTTCGCACACAAGGTTGTCTTTTGGGTTGACTCTACCTCTCCCTGCCTAACACCCTGATTTTTCTGGTAGTGGGGGTAAGGGGGGTGAAGCTGTGACACTGCTTACTCACCACATGGTAGGATGGACAGATGCACAGCCCTGCTCGATCAAGACAAGGAGAGGGAGTGCACAACTTGGAAAATGTGGGGCCACGAAACCTCTGGTTTGAATTGGCTGGAGCTGCTCTTTGAAGGCAGAAGTTTTCGCTCAGCGGCAGCCTTGGCCTGGTTCCCACCATTCATTCCTGCCCTCTGCCTCTTTTGCTGGTTTTGCTGGAGCGATTGGCAGTGGACCAATACAACAACCTGGACTGGGGAAGTGATCCAGCTTAAAAATAACCCTGCTGATTTAAAAAATAGAGCTTTTTGTCTGTTTGTTTCTTGGTGGGTCTGGCTCCCGAGGCTGCGCGCGCACAGGGTCTGGTGTGGGGCAGGAGGAGCTGGTAGTGCTGCAGGAATAAAGGCACCTTCGCTTTACAATGACTTCCCTCACCAACTTAAAGCGTGCATGACTCTGTAACCTCAGCAACGTGTGTGTTCCTGGAGCTCCTGCTGCATCTCTGTTGGCTCATCTGGGCCTGCTCATCTCAGGTGGATCACAGCTGAAACTCTCCTACTGCCTTCAAAAGCCTTGGAGACGGGTAGCCAAAAGTTCTTTGTTTCCTTGGCCATCTTTTTAAGTCTCCTAAAAGATGACCTGTATATGGAAGTAAGATGGAAAAACAAAAATCCCAGCTCCTTAAAAAATTGGTATTGGCAGCAGATGAAGGAAAGGCCCTTCAATGGCTGCGTGTTCTAGTGGTACAATACAAAGATGCTGCTACTGAGGTGACTGTCATATAAGCTCAGTGACAAATGAAGGGTTAACAATGCATGGATTTCAAGGGGCGCTGTTTCGTTTCCTTTGTTTTTATTTTCTGTATTTTTTTGTTTTATTTTCTTTTTTTGTTGTTGTTTTCTTTATTTTTTGTTTAATTTCTGTGTTCTGGCCACACCCAGGAGAACCGTCTGCTTTTGATTTCTCCCTTTACGGTCACATGGTAAATTTTATTTCTCATTCTTCAGAGATGGAAGCATTCAAATATTATATATATATACATTTATTTTATTTTTTTTACACTGCTCATCATGTTGCTTGTTATTTATTGCAGAGTCTGAGGCCAGACTAAAAGGGTGACAGTTACTCGGTCTCTTCAGGCCCTTTGAATAAACCTTTGGGTGAAAAAGGGGTTAGTCTGGCACCACAAATTACTCACAAGTTCTAGAGATGTCTGGGAATGTTTAGTGCTTGCCGGGTACGTTGAGGCTTGAATTTACTTCATGCTTTTAAGAAGTCCCTGGCAGTTGTTGGTGGAAGGAAACTGTTGAAAAATTCAGCGTTGTTATCATAATAGACTTATTAAACCCCAGTTATTTGTATAATCAGGATTTTAGAAACCTTAAATCTTCTTTGATGCAGGATTGTATCTTCCCTTCCTCCACCTCCATGGTTTGCTGCCTCTGTGGGGGCAGCCAGTACCTGCTATAAATCTAAAGTAGCCAATACTGTTAATCTGCTGCTCCTTTGCAAGGACAAGACAACCTTGGGAGGCAGAAACAAGAATTGCTTGTTGTATATGTATTTAGGTACAATTAATCCCTGTTCTTTGCAGGTCATCTGTGAGAAGGAATTAAATTAAATATTCTTTTTCTCCCACGTGTATAATTGCTCATTTTAAAACTTAGAAATAATGGAAATGTCAAGCTTGGCTCACCTCCTTTTTCCTAAGGAAAATTTAGAAGTCCAAGAGATGCATTAAGAAGACTTTAACCAAGGGGACTAATACCAGCTCTACCATAGCTAGCTGTGAAATGTTAATTCAGTATTGATATAAAATGATTTTCAGCAGAGCTGTACAAGCAAAGGACTGATCTGTCAATAAACCAGGAATTCTGGTTAATGAGCTATGTTATTTGGAATCAAAATAATTAATTCTGTTTTAATTCACATTGTTTATTACTTGGATATAGTCTGCATGTGGATTGTACCCTAGCTTGATATAACTTACTAAAAATATGGAACATTCAAAATCAGTTTGAGGGAATTTGATGATGTTTATTTTAAAAATCCCATACAGACTTCACTGATTATCCATAAATGTGAATTAAAATAGTTTTAGTTTGGTTCCATTCTGCACAGATAATGTTTAAAAAATTACCTTGCCTCTGTTCTCCAGCTTTCGGTTCACGTCATCGCAGAAGACATAAATCCCATTCAGTCTCCAAAGCATCTTCTAGAACAACAAAACAAACAAAAAGTAAATAGAGAGCAGGGGAAATGGAGAACTTCCTATCGGAGTATCTACCTCCTCTTCTCCCCCAGAATTTTCAAGATTTTTTTTTTCTTAACTCGTTACATAGAACAGAGGGAAACGTATTGCTCTGTTTCTCAGTTTTTCCTTTTCTGTAGGAGTTGTTTAAAGCTGATACAATACACACCCCCCTTCATACTCGACCTTGCTTTAACCTCCCATCCTAATTGTCTACAACATATTCAAGAGTTGAGTACATTGGGCCTGACTTACAAGTCCTTCTCTGTTGCAGCCCAAGTTTTAAATCATTTCAACAGAAAACTTTTATGCTGTTCTGAAAAAGGCACAGTTTGTTTGTTTATATAGCTTTCTTTTTAATAACTAGAAACATTAAATTATCTGAAGCTTTAGATTATTGGTTTGGAGCCCGTAGGAGATCTCTTATTGATTTCAACATTACAAATCTGAGCTATGTTCTTTTATTATTGCTGTTCATGAAATAATAAAAAGCTGCACTTCACAAATGTATAACATTTTTGCGCTGGGTACCTAGCTGTGGATGATGAAGACCAGCATGCACATGTCAAATGGCTTGGGCTTTGTAAGATTCTTACTGTAGAAACCTTTAAAGAGCACTTAAGGAATGATGGCTTGCTTGCGTCTTGCTGCTAACACTGCTTAGAAATCAAAATGCTGTTTTTTTCCCGTTCAGTCCATACATACTGACCCTGAGCTGCGAGGAAGGGGCTGCAAGGCTGGCATGCCATTTTGGTGACAAGGCACAGCTTATATCACTCACATTACCTAGCTCTCCGTAATAGCAAGAGTTTCCATTGCATCAAATTCAAGCTTTGCTCTTGCTGCTCCCAAGGGTATTAGTGCCAGCAGAGATTACTGTCTGTACATTAAATTGGTAATTGAGCTACAGGAACTAGCTACTCCTGTTCTTCAGATACCTCAAAAAAAAGAAAAGGTTAAAAAAGACAGACTGTAGTGACATTTTTTTGTTTGCCCCTGCTGTTTAGCAGCGTGAAGAGTCTCTCATCACAGTTTTCTGTAGTAAGATGCCATTTGTGAATAGCTAAACTGCTAGTCCATGTAGCCATGCCAGCTTTGTTCCGGTGGCAGTGAGTGCAGGCGCATCTCCATGGGAGGGAGCACGGGCTCCTGTCCGCACGGTTACGGGACTCTGCGAGTTGGCAGTGGTGTGACCGTGTAGGACGGGAGTGTTACACGTGTCTCCATGGCCCAAGTAACCCTCAGCTCCTCTTGGAGGAGCACTTTAATAGTCCTTGAGCTTCTGTCGTTGCACCAGCTGAGGGTTCATTCATTTTTTCTCAGGCTCAGTCTCGAGGTAGAGATTTTTAGCACCCTTGGCACAGAGCTCGCCACCTCAGAACAAAACTGGGTGGCAAGATAGGAGGGAGGTGATAGTAGTAGGTGGGGAGGGTCAGATAAAACCTGTTTTTACTAATGCAGTCAACGTTTTGGTGTTCAGATTTGCCCGCAAGCCCACTGCGATACTTGTAGATAGAAAAATTCTGAAACATGTAAGTGATTTTGACTAGAATAATGCATAATACTTTTAAATCTTCCTTTTGTGTAATGTTTATGTTTCGGTGCCACCTAGATGCCCTGCTTATACTCTCAGGGCCTAATGCATTGCTAGGGAAGTTACAGGCATAGACGTAGACATGAGCTGTGCCCTGAAGAGCTTACAAGCGATGCTTTGCAAACAGCCCTTCCACTCCACACTTTCCTAAGGTAGGTAATTGTTATTGTCTCCATTTTACAGGTGGGAAAAGCAAGGTTCAGTGTGTGGTTTGCCCAAAGCTTCGCAGAATTCCTGATGCCATGCCTGAACTCAGATCGCCGCTCTCTCTCGTAGCGGTCTCTCAAGAGAACCAAGCGCTTCTCAGTATTCATGTCCTGTGCTGTGTTGGGGTGGGGTGGTTGGGGGAATCCTGCAAGAGCATGTGGGAGTTATCAGGGACAAGAGAGAAGCCCGGTTTGGGCTTAACCACCTTTCCTGTGTTGGAGCAGGGCTTAGTGTTTAAAAGAAAAAAAATTGTCTCGAGTAACTTTGTACTTCTTTTTTGGTCTGGCCTCAATTGCTTTTATGTTTTTTTTTTTTTTTGATTACTCTTCTTATTCTTATTATGATTACAGTTCCTTTATTTTATTGAATTTGATTTCTTTCATTTATGAAACATGCATGAACCAACAATGTGACTCTAGGAGGTTATTGCTGAGTTGTGCTGATGTCGATTTCATACTGTGATATTTTTTCTCTATTTACCTAGAGATCAGTATTTCAATATATAACGATGTGCATGTTTTCCCCCCTTCTCCCGCTGCATGCAGGGATTCGGGTTCGTAACTTTCGAGAATAGTGCTGATGCAGACAGGGCCAGGGAGAAATTACACGGCACCGTGGTAGAGGGCCGTAAAATCGAGGTGCATGTCTTCAGTAATTCAATTTCTTCTTTATATTTATTCTTTTGATTTCCTTTTTGTGTCTTGCCTCACTTATTTCACATTTGGATCCCAGTCTTGTGTGTGCGTGTGTGTTTGTGTCTGTGTCCTTCACCTCCCTGCACTGAAATGTATAAAAGTTTATACCCCTTACAAAATATTTTTTATTGTTGTTTTGGGTATTTTCCTTTTCTTTTTTTTTTCTCTATTTTTTTTCCCACCCACTCCAAATTTTTGCCCTTCTGCTGTCTTGATTTTTCCTTTGCTTCAGTTTGCGAGGCTCCGATTTCCTGTTATCAGGCCTGAACAAAAACTAACTGAGAGAGTACTGTCCGATATCTAACTCTGTGTCCAAAACGAAAGCAGGGGGCCAGCCAGTATCCTCTCTTTCCGCAGAGGTCAGTTCTCCTCCATACAAGCGTGCGATGATGCCCGTGACGGGAGGGCAGGGTGGAAGGGGCAGGGGTCCCGGGCGGGCTCCGCGCAGCAGTCGAGAGCCTGAGCAGTGAAAATCCCTCCTTAAAGCTCCCAGCGAGAAAAGCTCTCGCTGCAGAAGAGCAAGTGGTTGACATTGGCTGGCCAATGTAGCCATATTTTCAGACATACGGGGTGTTCACCACGTTTTGTTTATTCCGCTGTGTTGGAGGCTAACTGGCGTCTTCCCCTTCTCCCTCTTTCTTTACCAAAAAAAAAAAAAAAGTACAAAATATTGAACAAAGATTAAAACAAAAAGCCGCCGTTTTGAGTAAGATGTCTGCATATTTTGCCTTTTTTTGTTTTGTTTTTGTTTTTTTTTTTATTTCCCTTTTCAATGGTTTAGCGTTTAGGGCCCTTCACTTGCCTCACTTTTTCCATTTTTTCCATGGTAACTATACACAATGCTGGCGATGGTACGAGTTGGCGGTAAGTGAAACAAAAGCACTAGAGAAGAAGCTTTTCTTTATTTTTTTTCAATTTTTCTTAAAAATTACCAAAAAAGAAAACAAAATTAAATAAGAAAGAAAAAATCCATCTGCCATCTCACATTAACACTACAAAATGTGATTTGACTTGTTGTCCCCACCCGCCTCCTTTCCCCCTCTCCCCTTTTATTTTCAATGCTGTTGAGTAATGCCGCCTGGACTTTGGATGTACATATCGTTTTGTAGCAGTCTGAGCTGTTTGATTACTGACTTCATGGTGATTTCCCCTTGCACATCTTACTCAGAGTTACTGAACTCCAGTTTGGCTGGTTTTTATTAATGCACCCATTTCCTCTTCTTTCTCTCCTGCCCCTTCTTTCTGCTGCTCTCTCCTCCTGAGACCTGTTTGTAGCTGTTACTGTTTGCTTCCTCT